TATTGCAGCTTGTAGCATTCATGTGACTCTTGTTGTTTTCTTTTCAAAAATCTCACCTCTTAAAATACCAACACAAGAAGACTCGTTTCAATTACGCTCGTAGACACTAAGCGATTTTGTTCGTTCGGTTTTCATCAGTTCGATAAATTACGATCAATCAGACGATTATTTTGAATAGCACATTCTTCTTGGCGAATACATTGTAACATAGAGATTCCATTGCAGATTGCAATAGTTATTCGGTTTAAAAAAATACGCTAGTGCGCTCGTTAGCAATTGCACGGTAATTTTTCTCACGTGCAGTTGGTTTTGTTTCGAGATGATTGAGTTATGAGCGAGAGTGGTGAATGAACCAATGATGCGAAAGTAGTCAGCAATTGAGAAATGTTATTTCAACGTGTCAAACAAGTTGTTTTTGTTTTTGACAAAGGTCTGAATAAAAAATTTCATTCATTTGATCAATTATTTGCATGGTTGAACTTCGATTTGAAAAAGTCGCGTTTCATTACGCAGTAACGGATAACTGAAACCTAGGAAGATATTTATAATCAGTGCACTACAAAATTCTTATCAAATGCGAGTATTCTTTCCAATTGGAACGATAAATAATTGTTTGCCATCACGAAACCCAACTGTCACCTGTACAATGTGTTAGTCTGTCAATCAATTTTCTTGTGAATTTCTTCACAAAATTTTTCAAATCCTCAACTAACGCGTTCCTTTAAAGCGATGAGTCAACTAATCGTAAGTTTTTCATGTGATAGCCGAAAGTGACGAGTTCAATCTGTCAAACGAGTTTCATTTGTTAAATATCATTTTTGGCAAATTTCTCTCGCTCGAACGCAATAACCTTTTTTTTNTTTTTTTTGAAAGTGAAATTTGTTAATACTTCTCATAAAACCATTTATCAAATACCATCCTTAGAAGTTCTCATTGCTCAATATGATGAATTCAGCGAAAGGGTGAAAATGAAGCGACCGACGAACAATTGGAGTACATCATCACATCAGGAAAACAGCAAACCAATGAAATATAGCAGTAACAACACATGAATTCTTCTAATAGTGGTGAATGAGCTGTATAGCTCAGTGAACCTTACTCAAAAAACGACTCAAGTATGAAATCAAAAGGATGAATGTAATTTCTCAAAAAGTGATCTTAAATCTGAGTATTTTCTCGATGAATTTTTTCACTTTGGTTAGTACCGCATCCGGTTTCATTCCACTTAGATCGTTTCAGTTTTGTAGGCATTTTTCGTTGTTGATGTTGTTGTTATTGCTGCTGCTGCTGTTGTTGTTGTTGATGATTTTGATCGTTTAGATGATCGTATTATGAATCGTGTGGCCGCCGACACGTAGGTACTCCGTTCGTTCTTTTCCTTACAATTAGGANTTCCGAATTTCCACAAAATGCTAGCAGCTCGACGAATTTGGGACTTCTAGCAGTTGGCATTCGCGCATAGGGAGAATTAGGTATTATGGATGTTCGTTGTACTTCAGGTTGACGCGTGAACTTTCGCGTTCAATTGATCGTAAACATGTTGTTACTCGGCAATAAACTATCAATCGCCAGACTATTTCATTCATCGGGAATTCATAAATCTTCTATCATTACATTAAAATGATCATTAGATCGTCGATAATTCAAGAAGTAATTTTGTTTGGAACGTGCACTGGCTGTGACTTGCAATTTGTTTTCTTTTCTTGGTGCGCACGCATGAGTCATTATGGATTATAGAATTGTGAATCGGTACCATTTAGCAGAACTTTGAGTATTTGAATTTTGTTTTTTGGTGTCTCTCTGTAATTCAATTCCACAATTGAAAAGAGAAACGTCTGGAATGGGATTCTTCATTGAGAAACTGGTTTTATTGTGGTATAATATCATACCAAAAACTTCACTGAGAGTANGGGGGGGGGGGGGGGGGGGGGGGGGAGAGGAGGGGATGAAAAAAAAGTTGGATGGTGTGGGTGAACTGAGAGGGGAATATGCAGCCCCGCGAGGGGAATATGGTGATCGAGAAGGAAGTTCGAGGAAGAATATTAAATATGTGATGTGGTTTGTGTTCGGGGTTAGGCGACATTCTCGTGCAGTTATCAGTATGCAGTGATAAATTGGTACATAACTCAATGTTTTAGGAAGATTTAATTTGCGTGTTTGATTTAGCGAATGGAATGAGGTTGGCAAAGGGTGGAAATGAAGATTGTTGAACGATGAAATGATGATTATGAATTAAGTGAATGTGTGAATATTGTTACTGATTGCAAAAATTATCAGTGTGCGCACGTTCATCGTTTTTGATAAGTGATGTTAGACGATCGCATCAGCATTCATATTAATGTTACAACAAATTTTTATTGTGAATTTATTCGTTGTGCATTGTTTGACGTTGAGCATTAGTTCATGTTATGAAGTACCTAATCAACCATGACTCCAAAATCTCGTCTTATCATCATCAGTAAAACAAATTGGTAATAACGCTAATTACTGTCAGCATTGTCATTGTTATTCATATTATTGACATGATCGACGTTTTTCTGTTTTATTATCATTGCTCTCTTATCATTTCAATATTAGAATTGACAAAATGATGACGATTATTATCACTATCAATGCTGTTCTCGTTGGTATACCTACCGATGTGACG